AATTTCTTTAATTTTCAATATTGAGGGATTATTAAAAACTATAAATACCAATTATTTATTTTATCATCTTCGAGACATGTTATATTTTTCAAAATATTTTAGATATTTATAAATATTTAACAATTATGTTGTATTTAATTTTTTTTTTTTATTGTTGTTTACATTGATACATTTTTTTTAAATAAATTTCAACATTATAGTTTTATAATTATATAACTTACTATAGTTTTTAAAGCAATAAAAAAATATCAAAAATATATAGCTACATATATTTTTTTGATTGTCTGAAGTTTAAATTTTTTCGAATATGGATATATTCAAACGTAAAATAACGACTTTGTTCTTAGATGATTTTTATTATATTGCAATTCAAAAATGAATAATTTTAGAAAATTGAAAAATTTCATCATTACTTAAATTACATTTTATTATTCATGATTGAATTTTATAAATATTCAAAGTAACGTTAAACTATTTACCTACAGGTATTTAATATTTTAGCATTTAGAAAAATGGGAAATTTTAACGGATAACCTACAATTTTTGATATTTTTTGATGTAGTTTAAAAATAAATAACAATAGAGAATCTATATTACTTAAAATTTATAACAAATATTCATATTTAAATTTACTAGTCACGAAAAAAAATTTAAAATATTTTGACACGTAATTAAAAGCGAGATTAAAATTATTTAATATTTTTGGTTTTGTTTAAAAAACCTATAATTTAATTCAAGGTTTTTTATGAGTTGTACATATACTAATGAAAAATGTAAAAAATACATAATCACAATAATTATTTTGTAGTTAAAAATTCATTAACTTTTCTTTTTATATCTAAGTTTAGAAAATATAATAAATGGTTTTTTATAAATTTTTATAAAATAGAAATTAATAAAAATTTTGTTTTTATTTCTGTGATTTAAAATTTTTTTATTAGTGTTTTAAGCTTTAAATGAAACAAAAAATTCACCAAAAAACGAAATCAATTTTTAATTAGCATTTGAAAATCAAATTTGTACATTAGATATTCACCCGTTATTTCTTTTCAAACAGATTTTAATATTTTATTGTATTTAAAAAATTAAATAAATAAATAATAGAAGATGTTTGAAATTTTTATCAAATATTTATATTATTTTTTCATTATATGATAACATTTTCAAAATATTTTAACTCTTTTAATAAATTTAAATTTTAAATTTTTATAATTGTCGATCAAAAAATTATTTACTGGGTTAAAATTTTTGAAAAATTAATACAAGATTTTTCATTGTTGTTATAACTACACAAAAATATTAAAAATACATGAGCACAACTTTTATTTTTATATATTTGGAGTTAGAATTTAGAATTTTTGTAAAATTTGTAAAAAATTGCAAACTATTTCGAAGTTAGAAATTATAACAACCTGCTATAGTTCTAAAATTAAAGTAAATGACTTTAATAGGTATAATAAAAAAATATATATAATTTGGTGTTATAGGTAGATAAACCGATTTTTTGTATACAAAGTTCATAATCAAATTGAAATTTAACTCGCCTAAAATAGTGACTCATCAACACCTAATCTATCCTATACAGTAGAACAATACACTTATTTACCTTTTTTATTGTTGTTTTTCAAAAAAGTATTAACTGTAGAACTTAAAACAACTTATTGTTATTTAAATAATTTTTTTCTTGATTCAATGAAATTCATTTTTAATATAATCAGACTAATTTTAAGCTATGTATTGATAATTTACAATTTTGAATTTATATAGTTTTTATTTTTAAAATGTTGATAACAAATCTTAAGTTCTGACAAAATGCTTGAAAATTCAATAAAAGGTTTCTCATAATAGAACCTATTAAAAGTTTATTTGAGAGGAGTAGAGTGTTATTGTCTGAATTATTTATTGAATTATACAATTTTAAAATATAATATATTATACCGAAATTAAATGTGTATCACTAAAGAAAATTTTGGTATACAGGTTTATAAAAATAAAATCACCCATTCCAAATAATAGAGAATAATATTTTTGAGGTTATGACATATAGATTTGTCTAAATATTACCTCAAAAAAATAAAGTATTAATTTAAATTTACAAAATTTTTTTGATCTATAATTAAACTTAAAGGTAAGAATATTATCTGTATCCTTTTGTCAGGTTTTTATGATGTTTTAATTTTTAAGCGAGTTACAAGTATGTAAAATATTGATATTTTAAAATTCTCATAATTCACTTACATAAAACTGATAAGAAAACACAGATACTTAATAGATCATTTTAATTTAATATTTAACCAAGTATTTAACTTAAACACAAAAAATTGCTTCAATTTAATAAAAATTTGCTATGTTGCATGTTTATAAGACGGAGACAACACATGCGGATGTGATGTCTTCTTAAATAGTTAATTATACTGAAACAATCACCATGAACTTCAATAGTGTTCAACTAATAATTATAACAGAGTCGAAATTAGGTAATCAACAATATAAGTAGACATTTTTTAATCTTGATACAGTTATAACTAAAATGAAAAAGAATAGAGAAATGACTCCTGTTGAACGCTACTTTAAACAGCATTTTTGGATTGAAAAATTTTAAGAGATGTTATTATGAAATACAGTGTAAAACTATATGGTGTGCTTGTTATTAATCTACTAAATTATGCAAATCTTAATTTTGAATTTTAGACATTTGTTTATACTTATTTATCACTCATTTTTAAGAGCAATTAATTTATTATTAAAGGAATTTGTCTATTTTTATGTAAATGAGTTAAAACATAGTAACTTTATTAGTCTTCAATCATCTCAGTCAAAACAAAACATTTATTATAAATACAAATTATATCATATAATCATAAATATGTGTAGAATTGAATATGTTGTGTACAGCATTTCAATTTATTTCTTATGAACAATATAGGTATCATATAGGTATCATATAGGTGATCATCAAGGAAAAGGTGAAATATTTAAATGCAAAATATTTTTGCATTTTCTTCCCCTGAGACTTGTCAAGGATTACTATTGGTTTATGTAAGAATCATTGATCAGGAACAAAAATGATTGTTATATAAATAATATGAGTCTGCTGAGTTTAGTAACTAACCTACATAATATATATCACAAAATAAAAATAATTGTCTTTATAACAGAGAAAAAAAAGTAATATAAAACATACAGGACATAACTAATATTCAAACATTGCACTGATAATAACTAGCAATAAAAAATAGATTAGATATTTATACATATATATGTAGTTTTATATATTATAAACATAAAACAATGAGTACTAGAATAAATAATAGGTAATACATAAATACATATCATAAATTAATGATTATTGTACTTGTTAAACATTTTTTTAGTTAGATACATAAGTAAAGAAATAATATCAGGTACCAAGTTAAAATTAACTTGAATGGCTTCCTACAAGGTATATCAGTTGCATTCACTTTTTTATTGTAAAAAAGATACACCACGTAACACAAAATTACCTATCATCTTTATCTATGGTATTAAGAAAATGAATCAATAGTTTCAATCGAGGTTTCAATAATTAAAAAAAAAAAAAATGTTGGTTTTAAATTATTTTTATAAGTAAAATAGACAAGTACCTAATTTATGAACAAGGATATTCTCAATCAAAGATATTAAAAAAATCACGAGTTTGATATTATTGAATCATTTTGAACATAACTCATTTTTAATAATTTGCACTATAGGTACTATTAAAGTTTAGTGTTAAAAGTGATAATTTACAAGTTTATTTTTTTACTATTATGTTTTTTTATTACATAATAATGGAAGTTTATAATATGACAAATTAAATGGAAAAAGTTAAAAATGTTTATAATTATTAGTTTGAGTACCAAAAGTTGTAAGCAGAAAAAAAACTATTAAATGATAAATAACATAACGAAAACCATGCGGAATAAACATCAAAACTGATTAAAATGTCTAGTTTTTTTAGTAAAATAGGGGGCATATTTTTACCTATTATCAAAATTAAGCTAGATTTAACCTTCAACTACCAAAATTATGTCTTCAACTATGTATAGAGTTATATAAATATAAATAAAGTAACTAATGAGTCATAATATATTTAATTTAATATAATAAATATTGTAGGTTAAGTTTTTAAAAAAGAAGTTTGAAAACATCCTAGGGGACTTAAGACCTTTACCTACAATATCTGTTTATAAACACAATAATATTTTCATCAAAAATATATATGGGGATATCTGGATTAATATTATGAGAAAAAAAGGATATTTTACAATTTAAAAACTGCTTGTAATCTTGTATAATCAATTATATTGCTTTATGACTTTTTTATGAATACAACTAATTCATTTTCATTAGTTAAAATCAGCAAATATTATTAGAATATAAATATTATGCATAAGCTTAACATACAATTATTATTTAAACAGAGTCTACAATAAAAAATAAAAAATCCCTAAGATAAATAATATAGTCAATAGCAGTTATGTATTTAGCTCTAATGGCAAAATTCCAATATCACCTACTAAGTCAATAATTTCATGACATAAATAATAAATTGTTTAATTAAATTTCTTCAAAATTGTAATTTCAAAGAAAAATGCATTAATTAGAACTTAAAATAAATATTTTCCCCATTGAATAAAAAAATGATAACTTTAACTATGCATTCAATTCAGTAAACTGTACTTAGTAAATTCATTTACATGATAAATCTTTACCATGATAATATAGTAAGAAGTGCTTAAATTATATTTTATTTAATCAGGAAATGATCTAATTTAAAATAGTAACAACAATTTTTAGAGAGACTATTTAGGCATCTACATCAAGTGTAATTACAACTTATGATATCATATAATCAAAAAGAAAAGGTAAATCAATTACAACTCCATAGATTCATTTTTAGAATACCTATTATTATAGATTTTATGATATTTGTGATGGATATAATTAATATAAAATGTTATAAAATTAAAAATACTTACAGCAAACATATTGAATTTGAACTAATGTTAAAAATATGATAATTAGCACTTTAATGATAGGCAGTATGCGATGAAGATCCTTTGAGGTGAGCATATCGCTGATGAACATTCATCAAGCTCAGTCGGTAGTTAAATTTTCAATAGGTACGCAATAGTAGTAAACAATTGTGAGGATAAAATATGTTGATATCATCAACCGATTTACACTAATGATATTTTAAAATGGTGTGATACTCAACATTGTAGTTAAACAACAATAGCAGAAAATGAAAACATTGATATTATTAAATATTAAACAGTTATCTTATAATATAATTTAATTAATTCACGTGCGACGAGCCGAACCCTACGCATGAGCGGACGGAACAGATGAGCGAACAATAATTAACTAAACGTTGTTAAAAAAAAAAAAAACTATCACGATTTTTATTTTTTACCATTTCCACTTCCTCCGGCTAAGAGGACTTTTATTATCTTATTACTCCCACTTGTCTTATCAACAACAATAATAATAAATATATATTATTATATCAATAGCGATACCATTACAAGAGATCGCAGTGCAGCCAGTTCCTGCTCGCCTAGTAAATCTTTTTTACTTTCCGTCTTTGTTATTCATCTAATCGAGTAGGTACGTCGACACTCGACATCTCATTCACCAAAACGTTCTCAAAAACATAGATGCTGTAATTGTGTTCTATGATCTATACCAGGGGTCACCAACTGGCGGACCACGGTCCGGATACGGACCTTGAGTACTTTTTTTACGGACCGCGAGCGCGTTTTCATTTTATATTAATAAATGAATTTAATATGAATAAATAAATAAATATAAATACAAATTTAAAAAATGTATTTACCTACTATTTATTAACGTGTATATAATACAATTTTAATAAATAAATAAGTATAATCACAAATTTATAAATTATAAATACCTATTTATTAACGTGTGCAAAAGTCATTAAAACTGTTTGGACCGCGTAAAGTTTAGTAAGTTTCAAAACGGACCCCCATAGAAATTAGTTGGTGACCCCTGATCTATACTTTATACTGATAAACAATATCACAACAACGATAGACAATACTCAATACTCACAATAGTACATTAATTTATATTAATATTATTTTTTCAAACATATTATGCAATCAAAATAGCATGATAGCACATTGCACATGACGTGTTATAATTTACAACAGTCAACAAACATCTCTATTGCGGACATTCGTATAATCAATATTACATGCAGTCATTTTCCTCGCGAATCATTTTACAACATTCGACAATAGATGTTAATGGGCTATCGCGAAATAATATTATCTAATTACTATTAAATAGCAATATGTTTTTATTGTGCGTTATTAAAGAGTTATGAATGGTATTTTATGTATCGATTCGATCTAAATAATTGTTATAAAATTAGTACCTAAATAACAACAATGTTGTATACTTATATGTCTACCTACACCACTTAATAACTAGTAAAGTATTTTATTGTTGGAGAAGCGACGGCAGGTCGCAGGTGAACAACTATTACGTTTATTGGACATAATAAATAATTATTATCACGTCATAAAACGATAAAATGTAAATGATAAATAAGTACCGCATCATAAAAACTAATGTTAATATAGTATTTGTAATTGTAAGTAAATATAACAATATTATTTATAATTGTCTGTTAACTTAAAGTATCAATCAATACTTACTGTCTTAGGTAGGTAGGTACTATATTAGTTAGTTATAGTTAATTAATTAATTAGTTAGGTACCTAATAATCTATGTTTTGTACTTACATTACCTACATAGTACCAGTTATGATATCAGTACTTACCTACCTACCTAGTCTATCACACCGTGTCTTTGATGTAGATACATTTCTACTCAGGGACAGGATCTATTCAAGCCAAGCCTTTTTAATATCACACCACACGCATACATAATATCATTGATTATAGAATAGAATATTCTATAAATTATAATAAATGATAGTACCAAATTGTTTTTAAAAGTTTTTTTTTAAATCTAAATAATCAAATACCTAGTCTTATAGGGTAGAGATGGCCGATGAATAATTAAATTTATTTATAAAGATAGGCAAGTGGGTATCGTTATGTTGTAGGTAGGTATATTAGGTGTTGAATGGTTTTATTACTATAATAGGCGTGTTAATGTTACATTTTTTTTTTTTATAATTTTTAAACGAATATATAAAATCAATAATGATAAATAATGATTTAATGTTTTTCCATGCAGTGTAAAAAAAATCAAGTGTAGCACGTTAGTAGGTACTAGGTACGTTAAGTAGGGTTATTTTCACACACAATATTTTTTGCTATTATTGTTAGGTATATATCTTCTTGTCTTCAAATCTATGGCTTTTTAGATCATCATGCATTCATGCACCCATACACTAAATTCTTCAATTTACCTTATTAGTTATTTATGCTTTCTGTCTGGTCCTACATTTATAATTTTATATATTTTTAAATCATATAGGTATCTTTCTGTTTCAAACGGAGTTTCCTAATTGGCCTTTTCCTACTGGATTCTTCCATAATCATGTGTTAAAGTTAGTTTTTGCTTCACAATATGTCATGTGTGTCCAACCCACTAATCTTCTGTAACCGATAATTAACCGCGATATATTTTATAAATAACGAAAGGTTATAGAAAAAATCTTAGATGTTTTGAGTTCTGTCTTTATTACGGAAATTTTTTAAATATTATCTAATTACCTGCAGGTAGCATGCTATAAAATAATCAATTAAAAAACAAATAACCGACAGAATTTAATAATTATTACTTATTAATTTACACAAAACACATTTAGTGAATTATTTATTTATGGTGTTCAACGTTTAAAAAATCTGATATGTATTTCAGTTAATTTTATAAAAACAATTTAATACATTACTATACTTTGTGGTATTATATGATGTTTATTTATATTTAAATTTGTATTTATAACCACTTCATTTCTAATTAGAAATATTAATCATTTTAATATTTTCAAAGTTCTTGGACGTGTTGTGATGAAAATATGTTTATTGAATATATTCTTATTTTTATATGAATACTGAATGTACCTTCCATTAAAAAAAAAAAATACGAAAATAAGTTTATAAATAGATCAAATATCAAGTTGTTCTTTTTTGATAAATAATTATTATGTTTAAAATAACTAATCTAATACCCAATACCCGTTTTATAAAAAAAAGTATAATATAGTATAATTCTTTGTTTTTTTTTTTTTTTTATGATAAACATTACATAATTGTAGGTAAATTATACCTATTATAAAATATTTATGTAGTACTTTCTATCAATGACAATTTTTTTAAATCTATCATCAAAAAATAATCATCCATGGACCATGTTTATAGCACTATATTATACAATTGACCTAAATATTAATAAATTATTTATTCTGAAATATTAAAACAATATATTATTTCTTTGTAATGTTCTTTTTGTTGTGAATATTTTAGAAATAAACACGTCATTAATATTAACTGGAAATGTATAAAATACTGTTAAATATTATCCATCCGCAATGAAAATAGTCAATTAGTTTTATAATTCTATTCTTCGTAAAAATAAGTAACGTAGAATTTGATAAAAAAAATTCCTATACCGTAAATATTAATGATGACATTTTATAAATTTTATTAGATTATTTAAATACACATAAAAATATTGAAATTGTAAAATACATATAGATACAATTATAAAAATTTAAATTTAAAATCCTATCAATTCTTAGAATAAAAATTATTCACAGGAAATTAACTATAGACAATAGATATTAAATTAACTTATATTATTCTTAAAAAAATTAAAGTTTGAACGAGTCATGAAAAATTATAATGATAAAAATAGAAATGTAAAATATAGAAATAATGTAGTAAAAATATTTTCGAAATAATTAATAGTTTTTGAAATAACAAGTATTTTTTTATAAAAGACATTTTGAGGAGTTCGAGAGTTTTTGCTACGTTTAGATGCTTCAGTTATTTAGACAGTTTTTACCGATATTTTCAATTCATAGTATCATTGTATACTTATTTTATAGTTTATACCAGAGGTTGGAAATTAAATTCTATGAAGGTCCAGAATATCAACAAAAAAAAAAAAAATTCGAGGGCCAGTAAAAACTAAAAACTCAGATATTAGTTAATAATTGTTGCAGTGTTATCGCAGCTATTATTGTAAATAGCAATAAACGATAAACACTGCATCGTAATCTCTAAATACATCATAAAATAGATAAAATATATATTATGTGTGGAAAACCAGCATTATTAAAAAAAAAATATTTTTTGTGGTCCAATTATTTTTCTTTCACGGGCCAGATTTGGCCCGTGGACCGCCTATTGCCGACCACTGGGTTTATGAAATTTATTTTACGTACACTAATAATAAAAAATTGCTTTATGGTATTTTCTAAAATTTAAATTACATTTAAATTTAATGGTTTCTTTTAATTGAGTTGGATGTTTCTTATAATTTTTAAGATTAAAGAAAAATATACCTACTAAATTCTGAAATTAAAATTAAAAATTTACGACGAAGAACAAAGTCAAATAGATATTGGGTGCAGTGCCGGATCTAACATTTTTTTAACCCGGGGCAAAATATGAAATTGGCGCCCTTTTATATCAATAACCTTTTTTTATTTTTTTACTTATTACATAATTAGAAATTTGCGCCCCTTTATGACTAGTATCCGGGGCACGTGCCCCGGATTGCCCTCCCCCTAGATCCGGTGCTGATTGGGTGGTATTATTGTGAATATTTTTTTATAAGCTTTGTGAGTTGTTTTATACTATGAACTAAAAAGCACAAACTTAACGGTCCATTCATTATATATAGACAGATAAGTGATAACTAAAGAGAAACATCATATTATATATTTTGAATTACTTAAAGATGGTGATGTTAAATAGCTTATTACTTGTAGATACTAGATTAGGAATATCAGGATATAGTTTAGATTATTGTATAGGAGGACGTCAAAGAAAATAAACATATGCAGTATATTTACTTAAATGTTTTTTCGATATAAATAAATGGATTTCAACGGTGTAACAATAGTATATTACTAACTGAATATCAGTTTATAATATATATTTATATATTAATATATAATTGTAATATAGTATAGTAAATTTTAAAATATTTTACAATATTAACATCTTATAATTAATTTAAGATAATTTGAAACACACATAAAAGTAGTTAACACATACTCATGGGATTCATATACTGCAATATAAACATTAATTAAGTAATTAAAAATGAGTTTGATTGGCAATTTCTAGGTATATATTATTTGTGCTTTCTATTAGTTTTAATAGTCTTAATAAACAAAACAAATATAATATCATCTAATAATCATAACCAATAATGTTTTAATGTTTGAGTATAGGTATTGTT